GTTCTTTCTGATTTCCTGCCAAGCTCACTCCAAAAAAGTCCCTCAGAAGCAACGCCAAGCCAAGGCTGCTCTCGGGACAGTTTGCTTGAAGCCTGGATTTAACAGATGTGTAGAAAGTTTCCAAAACTGGTTCCAAAACTGGGGTCGGTCACCACTGCTTGGCTCCCAGGGATTTCTTACGGTTTCCGTCAGCAGCTATTGTCCTCCTGTCTGGGACTCAGATATTCCCTGGACATCCAGCGGAGGAAGCTGTCACTTAGTTACTCCTCACTTCTGCTGAGAAGTGCGAATGCAGTTCTCAGTCACAGTGGATCAGCTCTCCGTGGCTGCTGTAACAAAGTACTGAAAGCTTCCAACAACAGAAACGTCTTCTGTCTCAGGTCTGGAGGCCGGAAGCCTAGGACCACACTCCTGTGGGTCTCTGGGAGAGGCCATTCCAGGCCCTGTCCTGGCTGCTGGTGGCTGCCGGTGATCTTTGCTTGTAGCTTCGATACTCCAGGCTCTACCGCCATCTTCACACAGCCTTCTTGTGTGTGTGTGTGTGTGTGTGTGTGTGTGTGTGTGTGTGTGTGTGTGTGTGTTTGTGCGCACGCACACCAGATCTCCCTCTGTATAGATGGATAAATGTGATTGCATTTACGACCCAGGCTGATAGTCAAAGATAAGCTCTTCTCCTCAAGATCCTTGACTTGATTACAGCCATATTAGCTGGTTTCCCATTGTTATGACAAAGAAATTAAGACAATCAACTTTAAAGGAGACGAAGTTTATTTTGGCTCACAGGTTCAAAGATTGCAGTCCGTGGTCCCTTGTCCCTGTCCCTTTGAGCCTGGGCACCGCGTAACATCATGGAGGAAATGTGTGGAGGAAGAGGACATGTTCACGTCACCTCAACCAGAAAGCAAAGACAGAGGGACAGGAAGGGGTGGGGCCACAGCAGCCCTTCAAGGGGATACCCCGTGACCTCGCTCCCACTGCCCCCCAGCACCCCAACAGCTAGCAACCAAGCCTACAGCACGTCAGACACTGGCTCTTCCAGCCATCGCAGAAGCTCTGTAGAGGTTCTGGGGAGCAGGATACAGAGGCATTTGGGGCAGGGGGAGGAGGTGCACTTTCCATAGCAACAGCATCTCGCAAGGCAAAAGGCACGAGGCCACCAGGAATACCTGGGAGGTTGGCGAGCAGCCCAGGCTGTCAGGGGAGGCAACAAAGGTGGCAAAGTGGACTGAGGTGGGTTGGACCAGGCCAGACCCTGGCTGTGTGCCAGGGTCAGGAGCTAGGGTTCAGGAACCAGATGTCTCCAGGGCCCAGGCATTCATAATTAATGCCAGCAATATGACTTTGAGAACTTGCTTAAGCTCCCTAGGCCTCGTCTGGAAACTAAAGGTAATAAAAATAATACTCCCCTCCCTGGGCTGCAATAAGGATGAAGTCTCATTAGTTTGACCAAGAGTTCCTGAGTATTACCATTCGCAAGGTGCTCCTACAGGTGCTGGGGACACAACAGTGAACAAAAGAAACAAAAGTACCTGTCTTTGTGAAATGTTAACTTTGGTGAAGGAAGAAAACATAAAATAATATGAAAAGTAAATTTGTATAGTTGTGTATGGGAAAGCAGAAAATTAGAGCAGGAAAGTGGGTGGAAAGTACCTATGGGAGAAAATTGTAATTGGAAGTAAGGTTGTCAAGGAAGGCCTCAGTGGCAGGGTGCTGATCAAGCAAAGATTTAAGGCAGTGAGAAAACAATACAACCAGATAATTGTGGAAAGAATGCACTGGGAAGGGGGTGGCCTGTGCAAAGGCCCTGGGGCAGGAGTGTGTTTGATCTGTCTGAGGCCCCACCAGGAGAGAAGGTGAAGCCAGAGCAACTGGAGATGAAATTGATGATTTGGGATGAGGGGAACCAGAGGCCAGCAAATGTGTATGGCTCTATAGGTCCTTTTCAGGCTTTTAGGCTTGGTATCTGTGAGAGGTAGCAACCCTCTGTGGTTTGGGGATGATGCATTTGGCTGCTGTGTGGGAGGCAAAGGGTGAAAGCTGAAAAACCAGCTGGGAATCTTTTACAATCATGCAGCAAATGGTGATGGGCTGTGTGGACCAGGGTGTTAGTGGAGGGGATATGAGAAGTGGTGAGTCTTAAATATACTGATATTTATATGTTTTTATGATCAGAATGCATTGACAGGCATGACAGACCAAGATGAGAGTCCAGATAGCATCCAGCATGGGACTACTGTCAGCTACAAAGGTGGGAAATCAGGGCTCAGTCACAGACACAGAGGTCAGGGCTCAGTCACAATCACAGAGATCAGGGCTCAGTCACAGACACAGAGGTCAGGGCTCAGTCACAATCACAGAGATCAGGGCTCTGTCACAGACACAGAGGTTAGGGCTCAGTCACAATCACAGAGAACAGGACTCAGTCACAATCACAGAGATCAGGGCTCAGTCACAGACACAGAGGTCAGGGCTCAGTCACAATCACAGAGAACAGGACTCAGTCACAGTCACAGAGATCAGGGCTCAGTCACAGACACAGAGATCAGAGCTCAGTCTTGAGCTGTTGGAGCTGATTTGACCACTACCCACCACAGAGGGGCTGGCATAGGTGAGAGTACAGTCCAGATCCCCCAGGGCCAGGTGTCAGCCTCCATACCCAGGCACAGTTTGGATGAGGAGCGCTGCTTAGAGTCCCTGTCCATGGGAGGGAGGAGGAAGCAGAGGGGACATAGGTAGAAGCTGAGCTGGTAGAGGCCCAGGGACAGCCTTGACCAGCCCTGCAGAGTGCGCTGCTGTCGAAATGGCAGATCCGGGTTGTCACACTGCAGTCTGAGCTTCCCAGCCCTCCACACCAGCCACCGGAAGTGGGACACCCGGAAGTGGGTCACCGGATGTGGGTCCCCCGGAAGGACATGGCCTCGGATGGGGCAGCCTCTGCCAACAGCACCCTCGGCCCCTGCTGCCCAGCAGGTCCCCTTCCCAGAAGGCAGATCCAGACAGTGCATCTCTGCATCCACCATACCTGCTTTCCCTTAGCCACAGTCCCCGCTCACAGCGGGCAGGACCAGAGCTGTTCTCTGGCATCTCTTCTGGTAGTAGCCTTATAAAAGAGGCTTCACCTTCGTGACTCAATCGCCTCCCCAAATCTCACCTCTTAGTACCAATAGTCAGGATTTCAACAAACAAATCTGGGAGGCAACGATACAAACATTCAGTCTGTAACATCACCAGCACCACCAGTGTTGTCACCACCATCACTGTCGTATCATCATCATCATCATCACCAGTGCCGTCTGTTGAGCACTTACTGTGAGCCAGGTACTTGACCACGTTCTCTCTTCTGCAAGAAGCTCAGGTGTTAATGCAGGAAGGCCGCGAGGGTCTGGCCTCAGACGCTCTCAGAAGCCACAGTGTAAAAGCTGGGATGGTGGTAGAAAGAGGTCTTTGCCGCCTTCATTGCTGTCACAGCTTTAATGAGCAAACTCCTGTCGGGGGCTCCGGGGGAGGTCAGCATCAACCTTGTTTTAATTTGCGCTTTTCCAAGGGAGATGTGATTACAAGATAATGATTCATTTCATGAAAGTGTCAAAACTCCGCTGCTACAAATGGAAAAGCAACCCATTGCGTTCACACGCTGTCCATCTTTTCCCTGCGTCTGAGGGAAGGCAGGTTCATGCTGATAGAAAGTGTCTGCAGGGTTTCGTTCCTCTTCCTCCCCAGACGTTGAGGGCCACGTTGGGAGAATTTAGGCACCAAAGCCACACTCTTCAAGATCAAAAGATGCCTTTCCCAGAGAGGCAGCCCAAACTAGGTGGATTCGCCTTCCGGTCCCTGGGATGAAGCATCTGACACCCCCAACTTAGAGCAGCAGGGTCATTTCAGCTCGGGGTTTGAGTGTAGGGCTGGTGGCCGCAAGGCAGAGACAGCATGGCAGAAGGAAAGCTGTTCAGCGTGGCAGCCGGAAGGCAGAGAGCTCGGGGAGGAGCTCAGGGAGGAGCTCGGGGACAAGGACGCACCCTTCCAGTCACCCAGTCCTGCAACCAGGCCCAGTTCCTCACAGCACATTCAGCTCGGGTCCATCAGTGGGTGACCCCTCCGGTCAGTACAGCACTGTCCTGGTCCCATCGCCTTCCCAAAGCCCCCCGCTCTGAACACGTGAGACTTTTGGGGACATTCTAGACCTAAACTCTAGCAATGGGAGGTCCCGGATGCTGAGCCCACCATGTTATGTGGACTCCACACACCCTCGCTGGTGCGGACCTGGCTTGTTCTGACCCTGTCCTCCGCCTGTTCTCCCACATGGACACTGTGAGGCTTGGGAACACACTCAGGGCAGGCGTGGATTGTGTGCACCACCGCGGGAAGGGCTGATGGTGCCAGCTGCCCCCCCTTCCTCCCCGCGGGGACCTCAGCACAGGTGCTGACGATCAGCACTGTCCCCACCTTCCTGGACGTGTCATTGTGCCTGGCATCCCAGGGCTCAGCTCCTGATAGGAAACAGACAGAATAACTTGGTCTTCTTTTTAAAAATGTTTTTCGTTCAACTTGTTCAAATCTGCGTTTCTAACATCTGCAAACGAGGACCACACTCCCGGAACATCCCTCGGGAGCTTTGCTTCTGGGCAGGGACTCAATAGGTAGAGAATGTGCAAACATAGAGCTAGGTCCCAGCAATCTCTAGGCTGCAAAATAAGGATCCTCCTATTTTACACAGGAGGAAACTGGGACTCAGAGACTAAGTAATTTCTGCCATTCTGTATCACCGAATCAGAACTAGAAACAGGGTTCTTCCCAATGCCACCATACCTATCCCCTTTCTGCAAAGGCTTCAGCCTGCTGGCCGGAGGCAGAGGGTCCCAGGTGAGCTCGGCCATGGCTCACGTCTACGTCACATCATCTTGTCCCCCAGATACCACGAGACGCTGTCTGCTAATGGGGGCTGGGGAGGGGCAGATTCCTGCAGACCAGCATCACCACCTGGGGCTGTCTTGTCCATCCAGAGGCGACAGATCTTCAGAGACCCTCAAAGGACGATCGCTCCCACCCACTCGCCGCTGTGTGAGGCTGGAAGTCGAGAGAACTCACCCAGCCACGTCACATCCAGGAGAGGCATGGGTTTGGGGCCGCTCAGGGCTCCACCTTGACTGTCTGTGGGACCCTTGGAAAGCGACGTGGCTCCTCCAGCCTCCACCTCGAGGGCTCTTATGGGACAGGGACTTTTGAGCAATGTGTGCTGCAACTGGCACACAGAGGGTGCTGGGCGAGTCTGTGCTTCCTTCCTGCCTCCCTGCCTGTGTTGAGGTACCCTGGCACGTGTTCTGCAGCCGCACGAATTGCAAAGTCAGAGTTTTAGTGAGGAGTGATCAATAGCCTGATTAAAATTAGCTTTTTATAAGCTCACTGAAATAGTGAGCTCATGGGATCTTAGTGCCACTGGGTGACTTTCTGAAGAAAATCCACAGCAGGCGGTCTCCACCTACACTTGACATAGGTCAGCTTCCCTGGCCCCCAGCCCTAGCTGCCAGGTGCACCCTCATTTTAGTTGTCCCCTGGAGCCACAGTCCCCACTGAAAACCACTGTCACCACCTTGCATTTTGTAGCAAGCACATCCTGGGTGTCACCAACTTGACTCTGCTTCCCTCTGGCCGTGTGATTGGTGACAAGGTGGTCTCGGCGAGCAGGCAGATGGGTGGCCTGGACCGCAGGGGTGGCCCCAGCACTGGCACTCAGTGCGGAAGAGGCAGAGAGCCTTTCTCCTGGCCTCGAGCCAAGGCCCTCCTAAGGCACTGGGTCTGAGACCCCAGAAGGATCAGGAGACCCTCCCCGTTGCTGCCTTTGCCACGTAACCCATCTGCAAAGCCCCTTTGCCACGTGGCCTGGGCTTAGGACGCAGACCTCTATCACATCCTTTTGCTCCAAGGGGCTAAGGAAAAAGAAAATGGCACTATGTCGTGGTATCCCCACTATGGCCAACTTGGGGTCGTACAGCAGTTGTGGGCTTTGTCCACCTCCAGCCCTGGGCTTGAGGGCCTGGACCCCACTTACCAGCTGTGTGACCTTGGGCAAGTGAGCTGGGCTTTCCGAGCCAGGTCCCCACATGTAATAGGCGGGAGAGACACAGCTTCCAAGGATGACTTTTAAAGAAATCGCTGCAAAATGGCTAATCAAGTACCACCTTGGGAAAAGCACCCCAGAGCCAGCAACTGCTACAGGGGCCTCCCTAGGCTGCGGGAGGACAAGGCTGTGCTGGTGGCACAGCCAAGGCCCAAAGCTGGACATGCCCTGCGAGCTGGGCACCAGTGGGAGCCATTTCTGCCCCCAGCGGGCCTGGGGAGCCAAGAGCCAGGCAGCCTCTGGGGAGATCTGGGTCTCAGAGAGCACAGACTCCATGTGTGGGGTATTTTCCAAGCCAGGAGCCACTGCTGATGAAAATTCTTGTCCCTTACAAAGTCTGTCTCCTCAACCAGGCTGCAAAATCTTGGTCTGTGAAAGCAGAGGCTCTCCCAGATGCACCCAGATCAAACATTAAATCAGGCTTATTAAAACATCTCTAAAAGACCCGTGTAGAGGCACCTTCCTTTTATGGAGAAAATAAGCCGTGTGCGCTAGTATGTGGTTTTCTGAAATCTCTGTTGGTCGGTCCCATTCTCGCTGCTTTATTATTCTCAGTTGTGCCCCAATTAACTCAGTCGGGAGAGGATTTGGAACCCGCACTGTGGGCCAGAAGTCTGTACTGAGGACGCAGAAGTGAAGGCAGAGATGTTCCTCTGTCCCCGCTGAGTCTGTGAGCTAATGAGGAAGACAGGTGCCCACAATGACTGGGGCCCTTCCAAGTGCAGATTCGCCGTGTTTCAATGTCAAGTGTGGTGAGGAGGGACCGGATGTGGACAGTTATAGGCAAGTGTGTTGGTTAGTTTAAAAGTACTTACCAAGCACTGTGCTGACGCAGGCCCTGGGGTAGGCCTTACTCTCCTTGTCGCTGGGACAGAGCGCCCAACACCCACAGTTTAGAGAAGGAGATGGTTAGCTTGAGGCCCAGAGGATTCGGTCTGTATCGTCGGCTGGCTCTAAGGCTGGAAGGGCCTGGTGGAAGGGACTGGTGGAGGAGAGCTGCTCACATCTTGGTGGCCAGGAAACAGAGAGAGAAAGGAGGAGCCAGGACGGGTGATGGATCCTTAGGCCATGCCCCCAGGAGCTGCCATTTCCACCTCCCCCAACAGCACAGTAGACTATGGATTAATCGGTGAGCTAACAGATTATCAGTGGTGGGTTAATTGGTGGGTTAACACCCTCCAGAAGCCCTGCCTCTGAGTACATGAGCCTGGGGAGGGCACATTTTAGATCTAAACCATCACAAGATATACCAGTGAGTGACACAGACACTGCAGACACAGACTTGGGGAAACCTTACCTGCAAACAGATGGGTTCTTCAGGGAATTGAAGAGGGAGAGGGAGGAGGCCACAGTGGAGCGAAGGTCTGGGAGAGGAGAGGCCACACCAGGCTTGAACAGGAGCCATGAAGGCAAGGCGAAGCCTGGGCCAGAGTTCTCGGGGTTCAAGCACCAGCCTTGACATCTGGCAAGGTTTCCGAGGAAGCGCTGTCTCTGCTGGACTTTGGGAGGTGATCAAGTCTGAGACTTGGGGTCCTTTGAAAAACTGAATTCTTCTTTTTATAAAAAGAGTAAGTTCTCATCCACAGAGGTAAACAAGGGACTTGGGCATGGGATCCATAGAAAAGATTTGGGGTGGCCCAGGGTCCAGGCCTCGGGGGACCATGTGGTTCCGAGAGGGACAAATGGCTTGAAGCCAGGCTCGTGCCCAGCCCTGTCCTTGTTAGCTTTTCCTTTTCTAAAGAGGAAGGTGAGGAGTAGTTTCGAAGCAGAAGGTCCAGGAGCAGAGGGCGTGGAGGGGTTTCTGGTGGACAGAGGAGACCATCTGCTGAAGGCAGGAAGCTGAGAGCAGGTGCACTGGGACAGCTGTGGGTAGAGGGGAGCAGGGGCCACATGGCTGGAGCAGCTGGAGCCGCTGGTTCCAAAGAGAGCCACGTTTCCTCTCTGATTTGGGATTAAGGCAGCTCAGCAAACACCCAAAGCTGTGGGCTGTGCAGGTTGGAGGAAGACACCCAGGAAGGAAAAATATGCTCCTTTCTCTGCTGGGAGAAGCTCCACGAGAAGTGAGGCAAAGAGGAGGAGCCTCGGGCGGTCACACGGGCGCCCCTCGGACCTCGCCTCCTCCTCTGTTCCGCCTGCCTTTCCCAGCCTCCTGGGCTGGTCCTCTGCTCTGGCACTCAGCGTCACCTGTGGCATGGAAGGAAGGACACGCGTCAAGTGTGAGCTCCGCCAGGCATTTAGAGAGCGACCTTCAGCACCTCACCTTTCTGTGTCTGGCGATCTCATCTGTGAATTAGGGGTGATTCCACCTACCTAGAAAGACCTTAGGCATAGTACAGTTAATGACTGTACTTCTCCATCTGGCGGGAAGCTGGGCTGTGGTGGCAGGCATGTGGCAGGCATTGTTTTGTGTTTGCCTGGCCTGGCCTGAGATGCTGCTTGGAAAGGCCAGAAGACCTGGGTCCATAGACCTTGAGTTCCCTTCACTGGTTTGCCTGGGCCAGTCTCAGATTCACCTGCTCTCCAGACACAATTATTAATAGCACCCCTTCCACTCTGTTTTTGGCCCAGCTTGAAAATTAAGTGCTGCAGTGCCCCTGTCCATCAATAACATGGCCATGGCAACGCCACCCCCAAGGACTTCTGGGAGGACCTATGAAGGGATCGAAAGGACACCCAGGCTATCATGGAATCGTCACCCTCCCTTCCCTCAGGCAGCCTCCAGGGGGAGGCTATCACAGAAACCTGTCCCTTAATAAAAGAGGCAGCAATTTAAATTCTACACAGCCAGGACACCCTGCAGGAGCTCAGTTGGAGTGTGGAGCAGTTTGATACAAACTTTGTGCCCGTCTCTCTGAATCCCAGGAGTGCTGAGGTCCTGAGCTCCAGTCCACGGAGCTCCCAGACCAGCTCCTGACCACCGCCAACACCCACCGCACACCCCGTCTCTCTCCTTCTCTTTCTGCTTGGTCCTCCTTAATTTAGTGACTCAGAACAATGTACGAACTCACTAGCTTCTCTTTCTCCCTGTCTTATAAACACGTAAATCTTTCTAAGCCATCATGAAACAAATTGAGATATGACCAGCATCACAACAGTCTGGCTGGCTGGCTACAGGCAGGTCTTGGGACTCAGGACACTCCTGATTTAAACCTGGGATCAGTTCCATCTCTAGGATGCCACAGCATGGATTATACATGGTGTGATCAAAAGTCACAATGAATATTTAATTGCTTAAAACTTGTTTATTACAGTAACAGACACATCGCCATTAACACTTGCTCTCAGAATGCCCCACCACCACTTTGAGCACACTCATCCGTCATTTCTGACACTTTCTGGAGCAGCTCTGGAGGTCCCTTTCGTGAGGGTCTTTAGTTGTGCTGTCATGGCTGCCTCGGTGTCCTGAATAAATTCAGAACACTAATTTTCTGGTCATTTTTACTTGGGGGCAGAATGAGAAGGTATATGGTGCCAGATCTAGGGAATCAGGTGTGAGAGGACATACTGTAATAACTGACAAAAATTGCTGTAAATGCCTCTCAAGCACAAGGTCCCAAGTTCAATCCCCGGAAAGAAAGAAAGAAAGAAATTGCTGTAAACAGTTGATCAGCATGGTGTGATCAAAAACCATCTTGAGCGTTTAAAGGACACATTGGCATTAATCTCCCTAAAAATACTCAAAGCACGCATCCTTATTTTGAACACTCTTATCTCATCATTCTTGGCAATGTGTCTTACTATAAGAAGTTATTTTGAATCTAATCGTATTTTCCAGTCACGCCTGTAGATGAATAGGCGTACAGGAAAGGGCCAGTGCATGTGGCTGGAGTCTTGGACTGGGCAGGAATCAGAGAAGCTAAGACAGGCTTCCCCCAAAGGGACCCTGAGACTCAAGTGACACAGTTTATCTGGGGGAGTGGTTCCAGGAGACGCCGGCGGGTGGGTGAGCTCAGAGTCATCTCCGGTGCTGGCTTGGGAGATCCGGGGAAGGCTCGGTGGGGAAGGCAGGCGGGGGGTGGCCTTGGCTGGGGCACCCTGAGCGGGTGCGAGGACAGCAGGTGAGGTGGCCATGAGCCAGAGACCACGAGCTCATGGGTTTAAGGTGCCATCCAGCCCAGGGGCTGCCACTCCTTCCCAGAACGACTGCCGCCCCCACCCAGCAGCAGTGCTGTCATGTTCATTCTCTGAGTCCCAAGCAAACTCACTCAATCCGCAGCTAAAAAGCCAAGTCCCTGGGAAGCAAGCAATGGTCTCGGACTCCCGGGCTGCATGGGAGCCGGGTCCCAGCTGCGTCCTGAGTTCCGATCCCATTCTGGGCAGCACCCACCACGCAGACCGCTCTTTGTCTAGTCACCCACACTCTTCCCTTGCGATCCTCCCGATGGGGAAGACCAAGTGTGGCCCCGGGAGGTCACCACCCCGCTGCTGCCCTCCGCCTTTATTGAAAGACAAACTCCAGAGCGCGGTTAACCCCAGCAGCAGGGCCCACTGCCTGCGGGTGGATCTGATGGACAGTAACCGTGTGTCCTTCCCTAATGAACTGCCCACACAAGCCATGATGCGGCTGCCCCTGAGTTTTAATTAGATTTCTTGGCCCATTTCTCCTGAGACACATCAGAGCCCCCTGTCCCCAGGGAGTCCCCATTGGGCTGCTCAGGCTTGCGAGCTGCTGAAGAGCACAGATTAAAGAAGTTCCACAGGCTGGTCTGTGGCAAAAGACACTAATTGGTAGCCGAGAGGGAAAATTGCTTTTTATTTCAGTGACTTGGAGTTCACGAAAACATTCAGCTCTTTCCCGACTGATCCTATGCTAATTCAACTTTCCATCAGAGGGTGGCTATTAAGGACACTGAGAGGCGTGGAGTGCTTGTTCATCCCTCTCTTTTCTCCCTGGCTTTAACTGCTGCATCCATCTGTCTCTGATCTCCCTCCTCTAACCCGAATTCCATCCACAGCGGGGACAGCTTCTAAATCATAGATCTGCACGGGGCCACATCAGCGCCGAGCCTCCTTCCCCATCCTCTCCCCTCGCCGCTCGTCTCAGCTGACACCGCGCCAACCCACTCTGTTATTCTTCTTTTGTCCTCCTGGTCTGGCCAGCCTCCATGCCCTTGAGCACAGAATGCCTCTCCACGCCTC